AGTAGAATATAGTGTGATCCGACTGTAGGCTGTCCTGTGTTTTTGATTGAATCAAGTTTGTTTTTTTGGTTCTCTACTTCCCAGAGCAATTTTTTTAAATAGCAATACATGCATAAAAACAAAATGAAAGTTCATCATCATCATCTTGCGGCCTCAGCCGAGATTGAACTCACTACACCTTTCCAGTATTCCTTATCTGTCATAGCTAATACTTTGATTGGTGCAGTTCGTAATCTTGTCAAATAGCTGAATACTTGATGCTTCGCTAGGGCTATCAAGTTCATAGCACAATTGTTTGCATTGAAAACTCTGAGGAAAATCTATTAATCTGTTCATCCATGTTTGATTGACTATATTGTCTACCTGATCTTGGTAAGAGTACATACTGAAAAAGAAATGACCAAATATGGTAATTGCAGGATTGTTAAACTGTTTCATACATGTACCAATTAAAATGCTTCCAATATTCCATGTGAAATAATGGTTAACAAACTGGTCTTACAGATTTGTACATGTCAGTCAATAGTGACAAACTTTGCTGTTGTAAACTCTAAAATCTCACTGGGTCCCCAATGTAGAAATTATTATAGAGCAAGTCAGGTACATCATCATTAGTTAGGTACCTCCACGAAATCGCTAAAAAAAGAGCATAGCTTGATGAAAAAGACGCCAACCTTGCCGAAAACAAAATGTTAGTCTAAATGCTTATGTTATTATTAAGAGGAAAGACCAAAGTTTTTTTTTAATTATTTTAAAAAATTTTTCCTTCTTTTTAGAACATTCTAAATTTTGATTAAAAAAAACCTTGTTTCTATTTGTATCAGCGGTAAATAAGACAATTTTTAGCACGTTTTTTTTTTGGTATGACACACATTAATTTGAAAAATCGTGCAAAAATAGAAATAATTGTCGGATGTTAATGAAACTTTCAGGAACTATTCACAGACGATCAAAATTATTATAAATATGTTTTTTTTTTTTATCATGGTAGAAATATTTTTTTTTTAAATATTTATTAACCATAACTAATTTTATGAAAACGCTAGAAATTCGATCGCATCGGTTTTAGTGATTACAATAATTGAAAGCACAAGGATTTGAGGAATGCAAATCATGTTTTTTTTGCTTTTAATTGGAGCCAACGTACCTGAAAATCAGCTCTGAATTGTAACATACAAAACTCGATAAAACAAAGATATTATTTAATTTCAAATGCTTTTATTTGCTTTTAGTTGTTTTTATGAATATGCACAATATTTTCTGAAAGCAAACAATTTTTTTCAATGAAAAATGAATTTTTAATACAATTATTTGTTATTTCTTTAATTATAATAGATTTTACATTTAAGTTGTTAAAATATTATAAAATTAGTTAAAAGCCGCATCGGCTTTCCTAAGTGTCCTTATGAGATAGATCTTTTTTTTAGCGCGTTGTAAATTGTATCATTTTGACTAATCAGAAGATCCACAGTAATTAAGAAATGTAATTTTGTGCTTATAACCGGGCTGTAATTATAAAGTACGGAAGACCAACCAGAATATAATTAAGTTGTGTTATTTGAGTTAAGCATTGTTCTCCGCTGTTAAGGTCTTTACTTTTGTGAAACACGTGTGGAGAAGTTAATTTGACTTTTCAATTTCAACTGAGAAGGGTACCTACAAGTATCGGTATCATCTTATGAAATTTATATGATCTTATTTTTATATTAATCTCAGTTATGACATTTTTCCATAAATGAAATATCAAAATTAATAATGAATGCAAATACAAATAACAGTAAAATGTAATAAATGTACATAAAATTATAGTATTTTATGTACACTTCTGATAAAATTTCATAAGAAAGGTACCTATAAATTAATTAGATACATTTCTTAGGAAATATGAAATTTAATATTACTCTTAACAGTCTTATTTTAATTTCTTTATATTTTCCATAAAGCATCATAAACGTAAAGGTGAAAGCTGAGTACAAAAAAAAAAAAATTAGACCGCTGAAGGTTTTCGTTAAAAATAACGAGGTAAATAATTTGTTCACTTAAATGTAAATTATTTCACTTTTCTCCTTCCGTAGAACAAATTAGCCTCATGGAATTCGTAAATATGTCATTCATCACCTGTCAAGAGACGCGAAAGTTTATGACCTGCTTTGTTTTATTTTCAAATTACATCTTTTTGGCACAAAAGCTAAGCTAAGCTTGGTTCAAAATATTTTAAATAAACATTATAATTTCTGATTTTCTTAAAATAAGTTTTGAAGAAATGATACTTTGAAATTCTTTTAAATATCAATTGAGATTTCAAGTTTTTTTTTTTTTTTTAAATGGAAAAAAATGGTCAATTTTGCTGACTCAAAAAAAAATAGATTTTTAACAAAAATTTCGGACGTGCTAGGAACGATTAAAAAATGGAAAAAAATACCCCAAAAATACTTTGATCTTTCCTCTTAATAATAAACATTTAGACGATAAAATTTTGTTTTCGTCAAGTTTGGCGTCTTTTTCATCAAACTATACTCTTTTTTTTAGCGATCTCGTAGAGGTACCTATCATTAGTAAAATGTGTTCACTCCCCAATGGGTACTTCATTATTATGACCTTGTGTCAGGTTAATATGACATTTATAATTATATATTGTGACATCTGTCTATATTTTTGAGATGAGTTAACTATTTACACTTTTCGGACTGTTATCCTCATCTTTGTCATATTCACGTTTCAGCTGTTGTACACTCTTTAGTAATTCAACTCTCCAAGCTTTTGTTCACCTCTGCTGAGGCCAGGTATTGAACTCATAACTCTTCGAGTCAAGTCACTGGATTACTTCAACCAACAGCTTTTATCCATGTGTCCTTGTGTGACTTCATCCAAAGAGTTATGAGTTCAATACCTGGCCACAGCAGAGGTGAACAAAACTTGAAGAGTTGAGTTAGTAAAGGGAAATAACTGAAATTGAGATATACAGAAAAGGCATGGCACATTGAGCTAGAACAATTTACCCCAGTGGACGGAATAAAGGGTTCAGTTTGAAATTTCAACATATCACCTGAAGAAGGCTGGAGCATACAACAGCCGAAACGTTGTGAATATGACAATAAAGATGAGGACAACAGTTTTAATAGTGTAAATATATTGTCACACATTAATTACGGGTATTGCATATTGTGTTCAAGCTCAGGTAAAAAAAACACAATTTTGGAATGCTGATTTTGAAGCCAAGCTATTCCCACTTTGAAGAATACTCTTTCTATTGCCATTTTCCTCCAATTGAACTTGTCTACAAAGTTAAATTTAATAAACATCAATAATAATGCTTCCTAGATATTTCTAAAATGTTTTACACAAAATACAATCAAAATTTTAAAGTATGAAAATAAAAAGTGGTTTAACAATTGAATTGCTTTTCCTATTCAAGAAATTTTGCAAAAATAAAACAAATGAGATTCTTATGAATGTCTTTTGTACTATATAGACGTAAGTAAAACAACAAATTAATTTGAAGGTTGTCACAAGAAATTATCAATTAAAATTTAGATATTAAAACTTGGCTAATTTCTTCATGTTGAGAAACATTAATTTATTCAAATTCTAAAGTTATCAAGTACAAATAAACAAAACATACAACTCAAATTTAAAGTATTACATAATACCAACAAGTTAAATCTAATAAACACTTACCTAAGTATCAAAACTAATAATTAAAATTGTTTATTTGTATTAATAGGTGATTTTACTGCTGTTATTCTTGTATTTTTATTAAAATAAATTATATTTCCAAACTTCTGTTTCTTTCATTATAAATTTACCTAGTCATAGTTTTGTTTTTAAATTAAAATATCAAACTATGCAAATACAAAGAATAAACTTCCAAAATTAAAGACAAACTATTCAGTGAATTTTAATTTAATATGTAGCATACTATCAAATAAATTGATCTGGTGTGTGGAAAAATCATTCATCCTGTTTTCATAAATCAAGACATAAATAAAGTTATGTCCTTTGACCATTTGATAAGTATTTACTAATTCCAAAATTTTATTGTTATGGGATTAAAGTTTTTTCATCACTCAACTACAGACTTATTAATGTACATACTATAATTATACACAAATGTAACTTTGGACTATTAAATTCTAGAAAAAGAAAGGAAAATATTCTTGATATGGTTCATGACCAAGAATTGAATTTCACTTGCTCTCTTAAAAAACTCTTTCGTTAATTAATCATTTCAGACAATTAAAACAATGACAGCTTATTTTTTATCATTTTAATATCACACACAAAAGAGTATGAACACAAAGTTAAAAATTGCTTCAAAAAATAATTATATATTTGTTTGCAGTCATTTATATATAATCACAAACAACAAATAAATGACATTTTTAATTTTATGAAAAAATTTTAAATATATCAACATGATAATTCTCAAACACCCAGTGGCTAAAACTAAATTTGCTATCAATGACTTGCAAGATCAGTCTTTGTATTAAGTGGGTACTTAGATTTATATGAAAAGTTTGTAAACTGTTTTTCTTAATTGAACAAGTCAAAATCTCCCCTTTACAAAAAACAAAATGAAAATATTTTCCAGAGAGACAATATTTTAAAGTAATTAAAGATTCAAGATAATTTGTACGAAAAATAAACAAATGAAACAATAAAGGCACATTTGTATATATTTTATATAAGAGCTTTGTATAAAAATCTGAGAAATATCACCACAGGAAAAATTCTGGGCAGATTTCCAGAGAAATTTTGCCTCAACTATGAAAGAAATATGTAATATTTTCAAATCTGATTGAAAAACAGGTTTAAATATATATTTTTTAAAAAAATGGAAGAAAAAAAAAAAAAGGAATTTTGATAAATTATTTCAGAATGGCAAAACATTAATTTTTAGTATTTTAGTTTTTGTTTCTTTGCTCACTGATCAATAAGTGTTAGTTTTTGGTCCCTGATGTACAACTGGTATAAAAAAAAAATCAAACCAGTCAAAATTATTAGTGTGACCGTGTGTTATAACTAGCATTTAGGTAAATCTCTGTGACTTCTTCAATGACAGAGCGGTCAGGAATTTTCTGGGACATTCCATAGAGAGCACCCTGCAAAAGACAAAAAAAAAAGATATATTATTCTAAATAGACATTAGCATTGTAAAGTTTGTATTTTCAAAGGAATTAACCTTATATATCATGTAATTTTCAAAATATTACATTTTAAAATCTTCATTAATTTCAGATTTTCTTCACAAAATGTTCTTTATTATAATCCCAAGCTTTTAAAAATCAGTTATTCCATATATCACAAAGGTGACAACATTTATGTTAAACTATTTTCCATGATCACAAATCTCTCTGACTAATATTTAACAGAGCTAATTAAACAAGATGTAGATTTGTTTATTTAAATTTGAAATGCTAACATATGATCCTTTAAGATCATCGGATATTATCTTTTATCTTTTTTTTTTTTTATCATCATTAAAGTAAAAAAGAAATATTCTATATAAAAAATTAAAACAATAGTTTGAGGTTTCATTGTGACAGATTTGTACACAGATCCCATGAAAAGTTCATTTAGAAAAACAGAATGGTTACAAATTGACACATACAGCACCACTACAAAGTTCACCAGGATTCTCCATAATTTTTTTGACACACTCAGTGACATCTTTCTCAAACCTCTCTACAACTCCAGGTTGAGTATGAGCCATTACTACACAAATATGGATACTGAAAACAAGAGGAAATCCACCAATGACAACTAGAATATATCCTTCAATAGAAAATAATGCAGTTTACATTGCACAAAGACAACATTAATGTGGTTAGAGATTAGTTCTTAATTTAAAATGGGAAAAGCATCACATGAATAAAAGATTTTTGTATGAAGTGTGTGTGACTGTTAAAATGAAAATGTTAAAACAATTTTTAAGTATAGGAAACTAGTTAGACCATGTATCAGTATGAGTAGTGACTTATATTAAACAAATAAATAAATAATCTACTTCTTAAAAATTGATGGAAATTGTTCCTCATGATTTGAAGTGATTAAATTTTGTTTTTTTTAAAATTCAGTAATTAAATAATATTGCAATACATATGTATGTATGCATATATGTGTGTGTAAATGTACATTTTACATATAAATAAATTAAAACTGACTCATATGTCAAACTACCTGGAAGGGAACTGAAGTGGATTCAGGATCCAACCCCGTTCAGTGAGGTCATCTGACAAACGATAAATATCAAACTGATCTGATCCAAATGCAACCACAGATAATTTTGGATCACCAATAACCTTCAAGCCATCAATGGATTTCAAGCTGCAAAATTAATTTGTTAGAAATCTTGTAAGAACATAAGAAATGAGTGAATAACTATTATACACTGTGAGAAAACGAATCAGCTTTTAAAAAAACTCAAAATTCTGAATTAAAAAATTAGAACATGTTAGTGGTTTTGTTAGTTTCAAATTAAAATCATTTTTTAAATGTTTTTTTTGAACAGAACTTTTTTCTTTATCATAATCTCTCTCTTTATATGCTATATTCATGTCAGAGTCCTCCAAAGTTTATTGTAATTTGATGTTCACAATAATACTTTACCCTTTATGAGGCCTATCTTTTTCTTTGTAGTACTTGTCCCTCCATCTATTTGTACAAATTTTTCAAGTAGGTTTCTTGTTGCTTTCTTGTTTCTCTTGCCATTGATATGTTCTGAAAATGTTAAATTCTCCGAGCCTTATGTTAAATGTTAAATTCTCCAAGCCTTCTTTCCTCATTACAATTGTTATCAGCAGTTTTATTTTAGTTCCTGTTCTCTTTAGAATTCTTGTCTATGGTATTCTCAACATTCATTGGTAAAACCACATTTGTCACTTCAAGTATTTTCTCATTTGTAATGGAATTGTCTTTCAGTGATAATTGAGGAGAGAAGGCATTAGATAGCAGTCATTTTTCAATCCATTACTAATTTACTCAGTTTCTGAAAAGTGTCTTTTGCGATTCTTATACAATTTAAATGTCACACTTTCCATTATATTATCACAGTGTTCAGAGTTGAATTCCCACATTTGTTTAATTTCAACATCCAAGCTGCATAACTCACTCAAAAACATACATTCCGTCTCCTAACAATGAACAGTCTTTTATTCTCGGTTTTCTACTTATATAAAAAAATAAACTTAAATTGCCCCTTACTGCTGAATTATTCTATCTTAATTTTAAATATATCAGAGGAATATTATGAGTAAAAAAAATTGAAATTTTTAAGCAGTCTTTATATCACTTTATTTAATTAAAGTGTAAAAAAATTAATCAGTAAGCAATTTTACGGAAAATATATAAAGAAATAATCCTATTTAAAGGAAAAAAAATAATTTTAATTTGTTATTTCACTCTCATAAGTATTCACATGAAAATCGAAATTATCTCCCTTTACCTTTTAACTTCTCTATTTTACACCTCAAGCTATAACATTAATAGTGTATATTCTTTTATCTCATTCGCATATTTCAAATCTATTATAATAAATAATTAATCATCCCTGCTACTTAATTACATTATTATAAAATGTGTTAAGAAAATAAAAATAGAAAAAAAAATCACATTTTTGTAAAGGCTCGAGTTGTGGAAATAATCTTCCTTGCTGACTCAATATAGCCATCCATTCCAACATACAACATTGTTGCCCAACATGCAGCAATTTCAGATCCTGCTCTGCTACCTGCAATAAAACAAAAGAAAACTCATCAAGCTGCCTGGTATTAATAAATGATTTTGTCATAATAAAAAAAAAAAAAAGCTAAAAGAATAAGCAATACTACCATGTTATCTTTATAACTGGATAGACAAATGAAGAAATATATTTTATCTATTTATACCCACTACTGTTTTATTATATTTGAAACCGAATATCTAATTCAATCAAAATTACTATTTGCTATTTTACTCTTATAGTGCAAATGAATGTAAGGACACACTAAGCAAGAGAATTTTTGGATTCAATTTTAAAAATAACCCCCTTTAAAAATATCATCTCACTGAATCTAAATATAGATTTTTACTATTCTTAGCTTGACACAAATGTAAAGCACCCAGTGAGTATTGAACTCACTACATATTAGTAATGGTCTGAGAGATTAGAGTGTTAATCATTACCCCATGTCAACAGAACCTAAATATCAAGTGACTTTTTTCTTTTTTTAAAGAATGATTTAATAATCATTTCTCTCCAAGCAAGGTGATAATTCCAAGAGTGAACGAAAAGATTAAAAAATGTCATTTGGGGGATGGGGGCAAGTGAAATAAAAGCAAATTCTTAAAAGAAGAGTACTAGAAGAAAGTAAAATATATCCACTGAAAGTAGAAAAAAAAATCACTATGGGAAAGAAAGCTAATCAAAAGAATAAATAAAATAAAAGACCCATCAATTAGTAGCATAACCACACATATATTGACTGCATATTTCATGTCAGAAAAAAAAAAACACCCTAATATTTAATATTTAAGAATTATAAGTAAATTTCGAATAATCTTTAAATATAACATGCCATATATATATATATATATATATATATAAAATGTTCTTTTTGCATAACAATTGAGGAGCACTGTGCAAAAGTTTGACATGAGATGCACAAAGTTCAGAACCCCATTCATGTCCACACACAAAATGCTACTGTGTCAACAAACTAAAAAGCAATGCCTTTTTTCCCCACTCTCTGAGAGCTACAATCAAAACTAAAGGAGTGATGGAATGTAGACACAGAAAGAAACAGATACACAACTGCAAAGAAATAAAGAATGAAAGAGAGAGAGAGGGGTGGAATAGAAAGGAATAGACAGAGGAGATAAATATATGTCAGACAATACTTGGCTGAGATTTATCTTTTATTTCAGCATGAATTGAACTTCACATAAAGTTACTTTTCTTCGAGGTGTCTAGTATTGTGGGATGGACTATCACTAGCGATGACGTTCTAATTTCTCAGTAAATTTGACTCTCAAGAACACCCACAGTGCACATGTACAAAAGCTATGCATGTGCAAGTGCACACACACACATTTATTTCTAAGGAAGTAATGGATTTTTACTTATTAATCCAACATATTTTTATCACTTTAAACATTATGTTTAGTGGATACCTATATTTGAGTAGACACTTCATTTTTTTTTTTTTAAGTATATTTTCATCCACTGGAATTCAAGAAATCTTATTTAAGAATATATGTGCCTTCCAGCAGGATTCAAACCTGAATCCCCCTTTACAGGAGAAACTGTTGTTAGATCCTACATACTTTTAACTGACTCAACCACAAAGAACATCATTGAGTAAGGCAGTACCATGTTTAATTGATGACAGTCTCCATGGCCAAGTTGGTAAAAAGCACAGGAAATCTAACAATGGTTTCTCCTGTAAATGAGGATGTAAGTTCAAATCTTGGTGGAGCCCATATTTTTTCTTCAATAAGATCTCTTGAATAATCAGTCCAGGAGATGTAAATAAATATTTTCTTTAAAAAATAAATGGAACATCTACTGTAAAATATGGGTATTGACTAATAGTGTTTAGTGATAAAAATATATATTTATATATATTTACAGTTTTTATTGTAGAACAAAATATTTTTTTCTTTAGGATTTTTTTTAGCCAGTTTTTTTGACATTTCAAAATATTACAGTACATGTATCATAAATATGCTCAATATTTTTTCCATATAATTTTCAGTAATACTCAATAGGGTGCAACAAAACAGAAAGTGGATGCTCAAATTGTAAAATTTATGGCAGATTTTAAGATTTAAAGAATCCTAATTCTATGTTGTTTTCCCCACACAAAATGAACATAAATATTGTTTTTTTAAATTAAAATATTTATTTTTTTTTTAGTTTTTGCTTGCAAATACTTCCTAAAATTAGATCGAACATACATTTATATAAAAATTTTAGAATCTATTGTTTTTGAAAAAATGGAAAATATATTTTCTGATTTATTTTGAAAATTACAGGCAGTAATGATTTTAAGCAATTGATACATCAAAATATTTAGCATCCTGTTTATTTCTCAGTTTCAGCAATAAATATTTGGGCAGCGGGGAAATTACCAGAGCCAAGATAGCACCATGAATGGTACCCTGACCTCAGGTGTAAAGACTGCTGAGTGTTTTACTGAGTAAAAATAAAACAATGTTATTCAAAATTCCAATGTATATCACCTGAAGAAAGCCAGAGCATACAATGGCCAAAACATCATGAATATGTGACAAGAATAATAGTAAATAGTTACAATGCCTCATCTCAGAAAGACACACACACATTATATATATATATATATATATATATATATATATATATATATATATATATATTTTTTTTGTGTGTGTGTGTAACAATTCAGGAGCAGTGTGCAAAATTTTGACATGAGACACACAGAAGTCAAGACCCCATTCGCATCCACACACAAAAAGCTACTACAGAGACAAACTATAAAGACACCACTCCAAACAACGGTGACACAGTTCACAATAAGAATTAAATTCTAACTATTTTTTTTTGTCTGTAACAATCCCCTTCTTTTCCAGACTCTGAGATTACAGATTGAATCTATGAATTGTCAAGGATTACACAGACCTTCCAATGTTTACAAAAAAAGTATTGTGATTTGGGAACTTTTGCAGTAAAAAAAAAAAAAAAAAAAATTTGGTTGTAAATATGTAACATTTATAAGGATAAAATATGGATATCTTTCCTGGAGTGTTTATAAATTGTACACTGTTCAATTATTAATATTAACAACAAAGTATTTTAAATTACAAAATTGTACTTGAATTAACTGAAAATTACTTACAATATAATACATATAATACATTCCTTCTAGCTGTCAATTTTGATGGCACTTGGTACACTAGTTACATAAATAAAATTGAAGGTGACAATGTAAAGTATACCTGCAAAAGTTGGAGTTGCATAAATCCCTCCAGGCCAGTTAGTAATACTAAACCATTGATGTTTCCGATAATCAGGGTTTTTATACATCAAAACAGCAGAGCCTTTTGGAGCTTGGCCATACTGAAAAGAGATGAGGAAAAAAAAAATCATTTACAGGAATATATGATGGAAAAAAAAAATTTGTATTCTACTCACAAAATGACAAAATTTAATCCAAACCTGCACAATTCAAATATTTTGAAAGAATTTTGCCAACCCTTATATTAATCTTAATTTACAGACAAGCATTCAAGATCATGAAAAACTACAGATATTAAAAAATTGACAAACAAGTTTTTAATGAGTGATAAATACTACAACTACTTCAATTATTTGATAATCTAGAAAAGCCAGGATTAAGCAAAAAGCAAAGGTCATTTCATCACAAAAAGGAAAACCATCCCAAGGAAAGCATAGCACAGTATTCTAAAAGTCACATGACAATTGGCACACTTGTGAAATAGCAACCAGGAAAAATTTGCATGACATCATCTTCCATAATATGACCAATAAAATTTATTAATATATTATTACATAGAGAAACATGATTCCATTTGGTAAATGAATATAAAATTTACAAGGTTATCAATGGAAATGCAACTTTTTGAGTTTTTCTTGAAAAATAAATAATTCTGAGTATGGCAATAATCCTTTTCAGGGATTGAAGCTTTCAGCTGCATTGAAGAAAATAAATGCAACTAAGCAGAATATATTCCATGATGACATACCTGTTGATAAGAATAATAAGGAAATAATTTGCCAAGTTTCTAATGTCTTATTAAGTCATTCTCATGTTTTTAATATGTTAAAATAAATAAGATCTTACCTTATGTGTATCAGCAGAAATACTTGTAACACCAGGAAGTCTAAAGTCCACAGGATCAATGGGGTAACCAGCCTTGTCAAGGAATGGTACAAGAAATCCTCCAAGACAGCAATCACAATGAACTGGGATGTTATATTTTACCCCTAACTGAAAAGAAAGGATATTATATATTAAATATAAATTTTTATATATAAAATATAATAATTTATTTATATATATATATATATATATATATTAAAAAGAAAATACTAGAGACTCTAATCAACTCTAAATTGGTTAAGCACAGAGTCTTCTTTCAGATAAGCAATATGGCTTCTCCAGGTCAACTGCTAATGTATTAATGATTATTGCTGAAAAATTCTATCAAGCTTTAGATAAGAATGGTGAAGCATGGGCCAATGCTTTGGATATCTGAAATGCATTTGTGAGCTAAGTATATTGAGATTTTTAAAATATTTTGAGTAGCAATCAAGAATCATAAAAATAATTTCACAAGAAAAACTGTTATTGTAGATCAAATCTACAAATCATTACCTAACTTACATTGGATTCTTTGAAAATTTTAATTTGCACCAATTTTTTTATAATTTTTAGAAATCTTCATCTCAACTTGTTTTATTTGTTGCTTTGAAATAGCAATATAGTTAATACTCTAAGCCAACAATGAGTGTAAAATCTTTCAACAATTATTACAACCTACTTAAAAACAGAAAAATTTGGCGAGGAATAATTTTTGTAGATTAGCATTCATTAAATTTTCCTTTATCCATGACATCTGTCAGAATCTAAAAATATTGATAATTTTTTTTATCATTTTAGAAAGAGGGTCCGTCCTGTTCATAATAAAACAATTTTTGACTTCTTAATGAGTTTTCTGTACATTATTTTTGTTTACAAATATCTAGTGTGATACTTTGCATATATCATTGGTAACTATGTATTACTGATGATATCCTTTTTCATAATTAATAGTAGCACACAGTTACCAGTGACATAGACATTGTTTCTGTTATATGCAATTATCAACACAGAGTCAGTAGATAGGGTTTATTCAATATGGCTTGCAGCCTTTTTTTACAATATGAAGGGGGAACAATTCTTTATTGATTAGTGAAGGGGCCGTTAATAGGGGTTCATTCATCATATACAAGTTTCAAACTTGTCATTTGTAAATAAAAACAAAATACAGATAACTAAGAATTCTGGGATTGATTTGACACTGTATTTACATAATCCACAGTACCCACCCCAACTTTATAAAATGATAAAAAAAGATCAATATTTTTCAATTCTGACAAATGTCATGGCTTATGGATGGTTTAATGAATGCTGATCTACAAAAGTTATTCCCTTGGAAAAATTCTATTTTTTTATGTCCAGATCCATCAAATTAAGTTGTCGTACTACTTCAATAACTATAACCTGAGTTGTAGTTATTGAAGTATGTTCAATCACCTACTCTCTTCTTCTCCTTCAACAATTGTGGTATGCCAGAGACAAGACATTTTTTAATTTAGCAATGGATAAAGAATGCAGATTCATCTTTTTCCCAAAGGCATTAGTGCTAAGTGAATGCCTCAATCACAATGAAACTAGTTTATTTTTCCATTTCCTATACCAACAACCTCTTTATTACTTTACACCTCCAATTAACAAATGACTTATTGAAAATGTATAGAATCCATACAAACTAAAACAAGATAAACTAAAACTACTGATAAGTACATAAGTTTCCTCTATACTATTTGTTATCAAGAAGAAATAAATTAAGAACAATATCTACTTACTTCAGAAATTTCTTTTATAGGATCAATTATGCCATGAGGAAATTGGGGAGCAGATCCAACCAACTGAAAAAAAAATTAATAAGAAGCACTTTACACATATATTTCTTATAATTTACTGTTGTTGCTTCATCTCAGGTAATACCAAGTAGCCATAATAATAAATTAACAAACAGCTATTCAATATATGTAAAGAAGTAATAAGTATCATGCATATTTCTATTTTCATGCATTCAGTTGGTCAAATTTTGTTTTGTCTCAGATAATACCAAATAGTCATATTAATAAATATTTATTACCAAGCAGGTGTTTTTGTTAATAGCTTTTCTCATTGCATTTACATCAGCAGCACTAGTGACAGGATCCACCGGGACGTGTGTCAGTTTCATCCGGAATACCATGGCAGCCTGAATGATCAAATAAAAAGGAGAAAAAAAATCTCCATATAAATTAATTCTGTAACAAATACAAATATTATATGAGAGTTAGCTTATTACCAAACCAAATGATTGTTCAAATTTCATATATCATTTTATTTTATATTTTAAAAAATTGAAAGATGCTTAAAAAAAAAAAAAAAAAAAAAAAAAATGGACAAAATTTAACATATGTACTCACAAAAAACTTGTCAAATTTTTTGTTTTAAAAGGTTATTTTTAAAATTATACAGTAATAGTGGTATCAAGAGAAAAAAAACATTCTTTTGACTCTTCATATTTTTGTGGGTATGAGTTAGAAACTTGTTAAAGACACAAATATTTAATATTAATTTTTTGGCTAGTATTCATTTCATTTTAATTTCAGTTGTTTTTGTTTTTTTTAATTGACAGCTTTTTTATTGATTAGGCCTCAGTCATTCAAATATAACCATAGTTATTCCTTATTTTCTCTATGATATATTTGCTAAGAATGTAGTGTGACAGTTTTAGAATTGTGATAAAAAGAAACAGAAATTAAGATGAAACATATATGTAGAAAAATCAATAGACATTGCTTCATCTTAGAAATTAGAAAATAACCATGACAAATATTTTTATATGAACTCATATAAAAAGGTAAACTTTACAGAGAATTTCTATTAATATAAGTTTGCATATTGCAAAAATTGAAATTTTTGGAATTTTTACATATTAAAAACTACCAATAAAAATATGTTTAAATAGCCTTCAGATTTATAGATAATCTCTTTAGTCATAAATAAAATTAAATTATTAGATAAACACCATTTCATTTATACTTTAAAGTTACTCTGTAACTGTTATTTTGTAATTTGAACTAGATATTGATGACTCATCAATTTTACCCTTGATTTTCATTCACTCTGTAATTTGGAAACATTATTAAAATTAAAAAGATTTTGTATCAAATTTGAACATCACAATATTCAATATTGGCTTATTCAACATGGTGTCTTTTAGCCTCAAATATAAATGGATAGTATAATGTTTGCAGCTATTTTGTTATTTTAGAAAGCTAATTAGTCATGTTTAACCAAATATAGCAAGATACTTTTATTTAAGCACCACCTTAGCTGGTAATGTTTATACATTTTGTTTATTATATATACAATTAGCATAGATATATAGCATAACTGGTCTAAACTTTACTTTTATTTTTTCCAAACAGACTAATTTATATATTTTGACATAAATGTATATGGGACAATAGCCTAATTGCTTTGTGAATTAGTGACATTGTAATGGTGAGTTCAAACCCTAGACCAAGCAGTGTCTACTTGGACTCAGTGAAAACAAGGTAAGCAATAAGTGAACAGTACTAAAAAATAAGAACTAGACAAGATATTCCAAAACATGAGCAGTAGAATGAGAATAGTCTACCCCATAGATTAAATAAAGAGATCAGTTCAGAATTCCATGTAGGTTATCCAGATAAATATACACCTGATGAAGGTCAGATGGCCCAAAACAACAGTCAAAATGAAGATGGAGACAATAGTCCAATGTATAATAATTATATTTTTCTACTTATGTCTATTGGATAAACATTTAAATTTCAGAATAATTCATTTTATTTGTAGATTATAAAAACTTCTAGTGTGCATTAGATTTGTTTTATGTGACATTAAAAAATGTTTAATCCATGATAAAAAAAACCTTACAACATAATATTTGCTATCTGTCTATATTTCTGAGATGAGGTATTATGTACACTATTTAGATTGTTTACACTAAGGATGGCCAACCTGTGGCGCATGCGCATTTAAATTAATTGTACAAAATATTGGCACATGGAATCAAAAGGTTGGCCACCCCTGGTTTACACTATCATCCTCATCTTTGTTGTCATATTTATTGTACGCTCCAGCCTTCTTCAGGTGGTTGGAATGTCAAACTGAACCCTTTATTTCGCTTGCTGGGGAAGACTGTTCTAGTTCCATGTCTAATGGATGTCAGTTATCAGTTATCTCCTGTTAATTCCTCTCTCCAAGTTCTCCACCACCTTAACCAGGTATTGAACTCACATTGTTTGGGTCTTGTCACTGGATCTAACGCCTTTATCCACTGAGCCATGTGACCTTGTGTATGAATTTCTGGGAATTATAAACAGGTATGTCTTCAGCAACCATTTTTACTATATTGCAATTTTTGCTGTTATCATTGCATGTTTTTTACCAGAACTCATATTACAATTTTTGTTGTTTTTTCTCTAGCACTCCTTATTACTGGTTCCCATATTGTATTCATTTCTATGCCTGGTCGGCTCAGGAGATTTTTGTGGCCTAGCATATGTGCTGATTCCTTAAGTTTACAAATTTTCCAATGATGTTCTGATCCCACAGAGGTCAGTGATCTCCCTTTTCTCTCCATATGTGGTCAGCCATGCCTGATTTTTCCACTTCCCCTCGTGTTACAGCTTTTTGGTGTTCTTCAAGCCTTACGTTAAGGGGGTGGCCTATCTCACCTTTATATTCCTTTCCGCAGCTGCACGGGATGGCGTACACACAGTCTTTAGTCATCCCTAGGAGAACGGACCATGAGATGACTAGGAGATGTTGACTTTCTGTACACAAACAACACCTGAATGGGATCACACATATATCAACAGGATGAGAGCTTAGCAATGGGCTCACCATTATCACCAGCAATGGCAAATATATACATGGAATACTTTGAGGAAATGGCATTAATATCTCTAAGGCCAACTCTATGGTTAAGATACATAGATGACACCTTCATACTCTGGCCACACCAGGAAGATGTCCAGGTTCTACTGGACCATGTGAACTCTTATTGAGTTCACATTCAATACAGTTCACAATGGAGAAAGAGAGTAACAACACACTCCCATCCCTAGATGTTCTAATATATCGAACAGAGCGTGAGTTCAAGACATCTGTATACCGCAAGCCAACATTCACCGGACAGTACCTCAATTTCAACTCCCACCATCCATACAGCATAAAGGGATCATCCGCTGCTTACAACACCGAGTAAAAGTCATAAGTGGCAATCCAGAGACATTAGATAAAGAATTAGTCAGTATAAGTAGTACCCTACAATGTAACAACTACACTGGGTACATGGCATCAGCCCCAATAAACTGGGATAGGCAGGTACAAGTGGAGGACAACAACACTCAAAAAACAGTCTGCCTGCCTTATGTGAAGGGGTTATCAGAGAAAATACAAAGGATCTGCAGTCCATATAACATCAGGACAACCTTCAAAAGCTGGAGAACACTTTGCAGATATCTCTGCCAAGTAAGACCTCCCCATAAAGGAGAACATGACAAAAGATTGTGTGTACACCATCCCGTGCAGCTGCAGAAAGAACTATAAAGAGGAGACAGGCCGCCCCCTCAAGGTAAGGCTTCAAGAACACCAAAAAGCTGTAACATGAGGGGAAGTGGAAAAATCAGGCATGGCTGACCATATAGGGAGAGAAAAGGGAGAAATCATAGACAAAAGAACACCATTGGAAAATTCGTAAACTTAAGGAATCAGCACATATGCTAGGCCACAAAAATCTCCTGAGCCGACCAGGCATAGAAATGAATACAATATGGGAACCAGTAATAAGGAGTGCTAGAGAAAAAACAACAAAAATTGTAATATGAGTTCTGGTAAAAAACATGCAATGATAACAGCAAAAATTGCAATATAGTAAAAATGGTTGCTGAAGACATACCTGTTTATAATTCCCAGAAATTCATACACAAGGTCACATGGCTCAGTGGATAAAGGCGTTAGATCCAGTGACAAGACCCAAACAATGTGAGTTCAATACCTGGTTAAGGTGGTGGAGAACTTGGAGAGAGGAATTAACAGGAGATAACTGATAACTGACATCCATTAGACGTGGAACTAGAAGAGTCTACCCCAGTGAGCGAAATAAAAGGTTCAGTTCGGTCATTCCAACCACCTGAAGAAGGCCAGAGCAAACAGTGTGAATAGTGTACATAATATTTGCTCTTTGCTAATTAACTTGTTCATGTCCAAAGTATACTGAAAGTAAAACTGAAGTAATTTAGATAAACAGCTGTTTTTAAAATCCCTGTAAAACTAAAAGGAGATATCTTAGATGATTTTAATTTTCAGTTGCTAAGTTAAATCAGGTACTGTGAAAACAATAAATTTCAAATAGTAACCACATGATTTTAAATAGCATATTCTAGACAAAATTCAAGTATTTAAAAAACAACAAAAACCTTTTCACTCTTTATTCAAAAACAACCAAACCCACCTTATCAAAAGCTGCATGGGCTGTGATTGGGGCAATTCTGAAAGTAAACAAAAAAATTAAACAAATATTTGTGTATACAATCTTCATGAATTAATTTTAGGAGAAAAAAATTGAGTATTAACACAATGAACTACTTAATTGCCCAATATCATTTTGCAGTAGCAGTTAGAAATAATTTATTAGCAAAGTCACTTAATATTAATTAGATTCATTTTTTTAATAGTCACTTTAAAATATATTCAATCCAAAAATGAAATATACTTGCGTTTTCATGTTATAGATGTGCTAAATAAAAGTCAGCAACCAACAAAAGAAGAGAAACAATGATAAAGATGTTTGCAGATATTAATTTTACTACTAATTCATTTTTTTATAGTGAGAAATAACAAATATTATTGATAGAAAGGTACAAAAAAATATCTGAATTGCCAGTTTATGCAAAAAACATCTGAATTGTCAGAGTTTATAATAAATGACATCTAAATGTTTTAGGGTTATTGAACCCTAAAACATTTGGGTGTTATTTATTATAAACTTTGACAAACTTAAAATATTTTAGACTAATAAAACTCTGTATTTCATAATTAATTTTAAGATCATGAAACCAAGATTGAAAACTGAACTTAAAAAATACAGAATAATATATATATATATATATATTTCAATTTGTCCTATTACATCTTTATTTAAAATTAAAAAATCAGTTTAAGCATCATGATGTTGTAGTAAAAAAAAAAAAAAATGAATAAGAATAACTTTACAATTGCATTCTTTGGAACTATTTAGAATATGTATATGAAAATTTAGGCTCTATAATGATAAAGAAAAAATTAGCTCACAATATTAGTGATGATCCAGAAAGTTATTTTAGCTTAATCCAAAACAAGATAATGATTCATAATAAAATTAAAACAGTATTTTAGTTAGAAGTTCTTTGATGATGAAAAACTCTACAAGATTATTTATGTAGAGAAACTCTACAAGTTTATTTATGTAGAGAAAGAAGTTTAATATATATATATATAACTAAGTACTATTTTCAATAAAAACACACTAAAATTGAGTTACAGCTGTACGGAAAACTTAGAAAAAATTATTAAGAACCATAATGCTAATATCTTAAATAAACACTTATACCAAAACCAAAAAAATTTAGACAATGTAAAAATAAAAACCCATGAAAATAAACAAAAATTATGTAACTGTAGAAACCCTCATAATTGCCCTCTACAAAATAAATGTTGCACTGAATCAGTAGTATACCAATGCAATATCTCTTTGATTGAAAGTCCTGAAAACATAAATATATATATAGGTTGCACTAGCCATGAGTTCAAAAGAAGATTCAACCAACAACAAAGTTCATTTAGAATAAATAAATATAAAAATCAGACATCTCTATCAAAATATTTCTGGCACCTAAAAGAATCAAATAAAACACCTACAGTAAAATGGAAGTTAATAAGAAAAGCTAGAATATGTAGGTCATTAAATGACCCATGTCCTTTGTGCATACATGAGAAACTATATATTGCTAAGTTTATAAAAAATAAAAATTTACTGAATCAGAGAAATGAAATAGCTATTTTATGTCATTGTCAAAAATTTTTCTTTAAATAATATTTAAAAATAAAAATAATTTTATAAAATAGGATCAGGTAATATACATACTTATATTTAACATGAAATATTAATAGTCAAGCATTTTCCTAGTGAAAGTAAACTAAGTACTATTGAAAAAAAAAAAAAAAAAATTTTTACTTAAAAAATACTTAAAAAATATTTATAAATATAAAAATTTTTTAAAAAATCGTAATATTAATATACTTGATGTAGAAAAATAATTTTACTTACTGTAAGTAACTCTAATACATTTTACTTCTATTAAATGAAATATATTCTATAAAAACAAATAATGAAAATTTTTTAAAGTTGTAATTAAAATTGTAGTTAATTAAAATGAATTCTAACCTAAACTTTTTAAATTGTAATTAAATAAATAAACAAAGTTTACTATATCAGAGAAATGAATTAGCTATTTTTGCCGTAATGAAAAATATTTTACTTAAAAAATATTTAAATATAAAATTTTTTAAAAATCGAAATATAAATATACTTGATATAGAAAAATAATTTTACTGACTGTTAGTAACTGACACATTTTACTTCTATTAAATGAAATATAGTCTATAAAAACTAATAATGAAAATATTTTAAAGTTGTAATTAAAATTGTAGTTAATTAAAATGAATTCTAACCTAAACTTCTTTTAAATTGTAATTAAATAAATAAATAAAGTTTACTAAATCAGAGAAATGAATTAGCTATTTTTGCCGTAAAGAAAAAAAAAAAAAAAAAATTTTACTTAAAAAATATTTAAATATAAAATTTTAAAAATCGAAATATAAATATACTTGATGTAGAAAAATAATTTTACTGACTGTTAGTACATTTAATGAAAATATTTTAAAGTTGTAATTAAAATTGTAGTTAATTAAAATGAAGTCTAACACAAACTTCTTTAAAATTGTAATTAAATAAATAAATAGAGTTTAATAAATTAGAGAAATGAAGTAGCTATTTTTGCCATAAAGATAAAAAATTTTACTTGAAAAATATTTAAATATAAAATTTTCAAAAATCGTAATATAAATATACTTGATATAGAAAAATAATTTTACTGACGGTAACTCTGATACATTTTACTTCTATTAAATGAAATATAGTCTATAAAAGCTAATAATGAAAATATTTTAAAGTTGTAATTAAAACTGTAGTTAATTAAAATGAATTCTAACATAAACTTCTTTTAAATTGTAATTAAATAAAAACATAGTAGACATAAAGTCTACTAAATCAGAGAAATGAAAATTTTACTTTAGTAATATTTAAATATAAAATTTTTAAAAAATCGTAATATACTTGATGTGATAATTATTCTACAAACTGTAAGGGATTCTAATTACATTTAATTGTTCTTCAAAGAAATATAGTATATTAAAAATTAAAAATAAAAATATTTCAAATCGTACTTAAATAAAATGTATTCTTACATAAACAACCCCCCCACACACAAAAAAATCTTTAAATATACAAAAGAAAAAAATGCCATAAGAATTTTAGCCGTTAACAATATAATTTTAAAAAATCTAGACGACAGGCTTTTAACGGAAGTTAGATTTCATTGAAAAATACATCCCTTCCCACGACCCAAACGTAGCAATAACTGATACATTAAATTATAGACATATTGAAAACCCAGTCACCCCTGTCTAGAAAAATAGATTTATCTGTAACCTTGGAAACATGAATTTTGTTTTAGCTGTGTATTTAAAACCCAGTAATTTTAAAAAGTTACTCCAAAATTCGCTTGAGGATGAAATGGAACTAATGTCTTTAATTTAATCACAAAATTAAATTCAGTGCTTTTAGTTTCCATTTTTGAAACATGATTAGAACTGTGTAGTGAAAAAATCATATTTTAAATCAATTAATTTATAATATTAATGCTCTGTAAATTTACATTGAGCACTATTTTGTAAAAATAAAATATCTATAAGAACACCGGATTATATATCTTGCTGTTCTTTTTCTTTTATATATATATATATATATATATATATATATATATATATATATATATATATATATATATTAAAATATTTTTGTAACGTTATCATGAAAGACATGTCAAGCTATGCAAAATATAATATACAAATAACTTAGGCTCATAAAAAACACAAAATTTACTTTAAAATACTTTTTTGCTAAAACATTTTTAAGATATTAAAATTAAAAAGAGGAATTTATTTACATCACATTTTAATTAGTGTTATTTTGAATTCAGAGTAAAAACAAAAAAATAGTCTATATAAATTTGGTAATTTATTTAAAGATGATTTGCTTACAAGTTTAATATATTTGAAAAAAACAAGTGTTTTACATTTCAGGAATTTTTATTCCTTTTTCCATAGCCCAATTTCTGTAAGCCAAACATGCTAACATTATGCTCTCTGTACCACCAGTGGTCACCTGGAAAAAAAGTAGATTATATACAAAGTTTAAAATTTATAAATCAGAATATAAATAATGACCAAATATTGAACTATTGATTCTAATCAAATTTAATGCTAGAAAATAAAATTATCAGCAGCATTTATGTTCACAAAAAATTATTTCATGGAATTCTTCCTTTTATAATTTAGTTAAACTCTATATAATTTAATAACTACTACTCCTATTTAATTTTAAACATACTTCCTGTAGTGAGATGCAAATTAGTATAATTTGCATATGAGCAGGTAGCTCATATGATAAATGGACACCAACAAGAACAGAGGTTGAATGCTTACTTAGCAAGATACACGACACGACAATGGCGTCGCCAATAGGATACTCTTTGGTCCTTGAAGACCCAGAATACATAGATACGTGGATTCGTTGCTTTGCTGCTAATGCAAGATGTAAAAAGTTGAAAGACAACAAAAACAGAGGAGGGGAAAATGAAATCACCAACTTGTTTATGGCTACCGCTGGTTGTGAAGCGATTATGAAGGTTGCTACAATGGTTTACCCTCGAGAACTAGAAGAAATGACTTTCAAAGAAATAAGTCAGGTTATTGAGGGAAACATGAGGCCAAAGAAAAGACTGGTGATTGCAGAAAGGACCAAGTTTATGGCAATGAAGCAGGAAGTGGATGAACCGATAGTAAAATATTTACACCGGTTAAGAAGTGCGAGTAAATACTGTGAATTCGAAAAACTAGGAACAGGAGAGCAGACAACAGAAGAAGAATTAATCCAACTAAGATTAATTGAAGGTATGCATAATTCAGCACATAGATACAAGTTAATGGAACAGTTACAACTTACAAACATGCCTTTGAATATGTGTACAGAATTTATACAACAGCAGGAATTAATACATACCTACAACCAAAATAAAAATAAATCCTACGAAGAAATAATGGCTGAAACATATACAGTACAAACAAAAAGAAAAAATTGTCCATATTGTGGAAAAATTCATGAAATGAAAAAAGAAAAATGCCCAGCCTTTGGAAAGACGTGTTCAAAGTGTTTAAAAAAAAAAAAATCACTTCAAAGAAGTATGTAAAACAAAAAATGTGGAAAGAGTAGAGGATGAAAATAGACAGATTTTTAATGTAAAAAAGGATAATATACAAAATACTGGATCTAAGAATGGAGATACAAAAATAAAAGTGAAAATCAACGATGGTATTGTCAAAATGCAAATTGACACAGGTAGTGAGGTCACGATATTACCCAGAAATTTGTGGGAAAAAATGGGAAAACCGTTTTTAAAAAAAACCAACGTACAATTACGTCAGTCAGTTTGATGGCTCGATTATAGCAATTATGGGTTACTTTGAAGGTTCAATAGAATTAAAAGAAAAATATTAAATAGTACCCATTATAGTTACAAACTGCCGAAAAACGCATGGACTCCTGGGGAATGACGTGTTAAAAATAAATTCAACGAAGTTGATTAATGAGATAAAAATAGAAAAAACAGGAAAATTAAAAAATTATGAAGCTAGCCTGAAATTAAAAAGATGTTTCCCCCTCCTACTATGAGCGAGAAAATACCAGTGCATTTATTACCGTTGGTAATAGCTAAATTAAAGCTAATAAAGGAAGACTTATTAGAACCTGCCCCTCCAGGAGGAAGTAAATGGGCATCACCCATTGTGGTATTGAAAAAAAAAAATGGTGACCTGAGAATTTGTGGAGATTATAAAATAGGGGTGAACCATAAAGTTTGTGCTGACTCGTACCCTATACCGAATGTGGAAGTAGCTTTACATAAACTTGCTGGAATGAAAGTATTTTCAAAGATAGACCTAAAATCAGCTTACCACCAAATACCGATAAATGAAAATTTTAAAGAAGTGACGACCATAAACACACCTATAGGCCTGTTAAGGTGGAAAAGAATGCCATATGGCATAAAAACGGCAAGTGCAATTTTTCAAAAAGCTATTGAAAAAGTAATAGGAAATGTTGAAAATACCATCTGTTATCAAGATGATATATGTGTTGGAGATTTAAATGAAGATGATTTAAAGAAAAAAACTGAAAATATACTGAACCGGCTAAGAGACGCTGGTATGACAATAAATACAAAAAGTGTTTAACCAACAGTAATGAAATATCATTTTTGGGTTACTCAATATCAAAGGAAGGGATCTCTCCAGATAAAGTACTAATAGAGAAAATTCTAAAAGTTGCTACACCGAAAAATAAAAAGAGTTGGAGTCCTTCTTAGGTTTGGTAAATTTTTATAGAAAATATGTACCAAAATATAATGAGTTGACAGAACCATTTGCTAAGTTAAAAAAAAATGTGGAATTCATTTGGTTAGAACACCAACAGAAAGCCTTTGAAAACTTAAAACAGATTCTGGCAAAAAAAGGCAATAGTACAAATTTTTGACCCTAAGAAGGACATAACTCACTACTGACGCTAGTGAGCAGTCCATATCTGGTATTTTGTCACAAGATGGGCATCCCATAATGTATTATCGAGGAGATTAACAACAACTGAACACAATTATTCGAATATAGAAAGGAGGCACTAGCCATAGTGTGGACAACGGATAGAACAAGACAGTTTTGATGGGAAAAAAATTCTTGTTGAAAAGTGATCCACTGAATTTATTTTCAACCCAAGAAAAGAGCTACCGAAAGTTACAACGTCAGAATATTACATTGGGTGATTAGACTGATGGCGTTCAACTTTGACATTGGATATGTTAAAGGAATAATGATACGCACGTTGATGCCTTATCTAGATTGAGGTTTTATAGAGAGGAGAAGGACAAAAAAGCGACAAGGAATTTGAAGACACATTCTTGCACCTTGTAGAAACCAATGTAATATCTGTAGATAAAATGGCTACTGAAACTACAAATGACCCAGTGTTAAATAGAATAATGTCGAGGATAAAACAGAATCGCTGGGGAAATTGTTCAATGGCTGAAAGACCATTCAAAGAAATCAGACATAAAATGACTATAAAAAATGGGATGATATGTAATGGAGACTTGGTAGTTCCCACAGAAACACAGAGGAGACAGGTTATAAAAAGTGTACACGATGACGTACATTGTGGAGTGGCAGCTACAAAGAAGATTAAAATTGGGCGTGGTGGCGGGGTACTCAAGAGACGTAGAAGACTACGTAAAAAGATGCAAAAAATGCACAGAACTCAGGAATTTTAAGCAAAAGAAAATACATGTATGGCCCCAAGAAGTAGAACCATGGAGCAGAGTACACATGGACCATGCCCTATGTCAATGGGATAGGACTATTATTAATATTAGTAGACGCATATTCAGGTTGGCCTGAAGTGGTGAGAGTACCTGATAAAAAAAGTACCACCGTAAAACAAATATTAAGAGTAATATTTTTCGAGGAATGGGACACCGAGAACATTGGTGACTGATAACGCACCAGAATTTGTGGATGCTGATTTGCATGAATGGCTAAGAAAAATAGGATGCAGACCTTACAAGACCCCTCCCTACCACCCTCAAAGTAATGGGGCAGCGGAAAGGATGGTCCAGACGGTAAAGAAGGGCATAAAAGCATGCTTGCAACAGAAGGAGAAATTGATGCTTTCCTACCAAGACTGTTATTAAGTTACAGAACAATTCCACATGCAGGCAGACCAGAAAGTCCATCTGCCTTAATGGGAAGACAATTAAAGGTCCCTTTGACTATGTCATATGCCACAAATCAAAAGATGTGGTACAAAAGAAATAGGAATATGCAACCCCGAGTCAGTCAATTTATTATGCAGAAAGGACATAATACTGCAATATTAAATAAAGAAAAATGGGAACAGTATTCTAGCTCATGCTGACCAAATAAGATCCCAAGGAGAAGAATCGGATGAGGAAATGCCTTCAGAGATGCCCATTATTGACGTAACAGAAGAGTTAATGCAGAATGAAACTGCGGAGGAAGAAGTAGAGAGGGATGAGTTAGAGGAGGAAGAAGTAGAATGGGACAAGTTAGAAGAGAAAGGCCAGAGTATGCAAGAGGAACAGTTCGATTATAGGGAAAGACGTGATAGATCTAGATCTCCAAGGAAAGGAGAGAGATAAAGGAAGATGTTCAGGAGGGCACAAGAAGAAGTACAAGAAGTACTCGTGGCATAAGGCCCCTCCGTTATAGGAAGATGTAGTGAGATGCAAATTAGTATAATTTGCATATGAGCAGGTAGCTCATATGATAAATGGACACCAACAAGAACAGAGGTTGAATGCTTACTTAGCAAGATACACGACACGACACTTCCCAAAATAATGAAATTATAATTTTTTCTTTTTTCTATAATTCTATTCAATTATAAATGACATGAAATACGCTTAAATACTTGACTACATGACTTTTCTTCTACTTAAAGCTGATATTTAATAAAAATATACTTACTGACAATTACCTGATTGTAAAAATCCTAGAAAACAGTAGAATCACTTTACAAAGGAGGAAAAAGTTTATGGGAATCAAGTTGATTAACCTCAGGGTCTATCTACTGTCTTTTATTCTTGCCAGGTGAGCTACCTAGTTCCACTGAAATTTTCTAATGTTTTTGCAACAAATTCCGAAATGTCAAGTTTTAAAAAGGTACTATATTGTTTCAACAATTCAAAAGTAGAATGAATGGTATTAAAATTAGAAATGCCACTTTCAACTATCCATTGAATACAATTGAATATTGAATAAATGGAAGCTACTGTATTTCTTCAGGTGAACCTGAGCCATTAAAACAATATCCTCATTTGATAAGAGAATAAACTGAACAAGTTCCTATTATAACATAACAGATAAGGTGAAAAACATCATAAGAATGACAACATAGTATCTTTATCATTACAGGTTATTAAAACAGAGAATCAAAAGAGAACTACTTTTTCAACTCGGAGAAAGCAGTGGTTACTTGAAATTGTGGACAAACCCTTTTGAGTCTGGCAAACTGTCATCTTTTCGAATGTATTCACATTTTCTCCATTTGGAAAATTCAAAAACTTATCAAGAACTTTGTTTAAACTATTGCAACCCACTATCAACATGGTACATATTCAGTTATGAAGAAAGGAAGTAATTTAGAACACAGTTCATTCCAATTTCAGTGTCTGTGGAGTATATCAATTCAGAAAAAAACATCACCATTCTGCAGGAAGAACTTCTCCCAGCATTCAAAAAGATACATAGACAAAACAGCAGCTTTTTTTTAAAAATGTAGTTACATGAAGGAAAGAAAAACTTTTGAGGATAACAGGTTCAAAAAAAAGTTATAAAGTTACTGAGATGTGTTCCTAAACTGGCTCCTGTTCTCTCTAAACTCTACAATAAATGCCCTGTTGTTTCTTGCTTTCCTGCTTGTTAGAAATCCTCTTCTGTAATTCCAGTCTTTAAGAACTCAAGCGAAGCAACTGATCCTTCTACTTCTTTTTGGCAAAGTACTAGATGTTCTAATCAACACTGAACTGGTTAAGCATCTCATATCACAGGGTCTTCTTTCAGCTAAGTAATATGTCTTTCACTTCTCTAGGTCAACTGCTGATATTTTAATGGTCATTGCTGAGAGTCTATCACGCTTAGATAAGAATGGTGAAAATCAGGATGTTGCTTTGAATATCTCAAAGGCATTTGACACAAGTTGAAAGTTTATGCTATTTCTGGAAAAAATTTTGATTTGATTCAATCTTTCTTATCAAATAGCAAAATGAAAGTTATCTTGAATGGCCACATGCCTAGATCTTTTTTCATTAATGCAGGTGTCTATCCTTAGACCTATGTTGCTTCTAATTTTCATCAACACCTTTCCCAATGTCATCAGTTCTCAACTCTGTATCTATGCTGATAACTCAACTATTTACTACTGTCTTAATGGCAAGTCTGACCAGTTCAATAAACTAAATTGGCAGCTGATCTAAAAAGTGACATACAATCTGATTTAACTGAGGCAAGAAATGGCTTTCTAATTTTAATGTCTCTAAAAAAAAAAAAAAACTGCTCTCTTTTAATCATCTGAGAAAACCTTCTTTGCATGGCTGGGAGAGTGACTCCTTGCAACTTATTATAGATTATAGTGAATCAATTACTAGGTCTGCTGTTAGGAAAGTTAGTTCACTGCATCATACTAGACAATTTTTCTCACCAGAATCTATCTTACACATTTATAAGTCTACCATTTATCCATACATTGAATACTGCTGTCACATGTAGTCTGGTGCTTCTGCTATGTATTTAGAGAGTCTTGATAAAATAAAAACAAGAACATGTAATGTTATTAGTCCCAACCTAGAATCTCTGATTCAGTCACTTTCTTAGTTTCTCTGTACCTTTTCTATCAATGTTTTCATGGTAATTGTTCTGATGCTCTTTGGTACCTAAACTTTATGAATTTAAGTATACTGCTAAATTGAAATGGCTAGATTAATTGTATGTTGTATGCTAACAGTTTCTTCTCTCACACTTCTCACTTATGGAACTCCCTTCTGGTTTCTTGCTTTCCCCGTCAACTTGGATCTTCAATAACTTAAATGCAATGTCAATCATGTGTCTTCTTAATTCTTGTTTTTTTATTGTTCTCTCTCCTTAATAATGTTTTCTTTTTCTCATATTCTCTCACATTCAGTACCCCCCCCTCTTGTGTCTTAGTGGCTCTATTACCTTGCTTGGGGTAAAATGATTAAAAAATGTTTCCTTATAATTGTCAGTTTTGGGTCAGGTTGTCTCCCTTTGTCCATTATTTGACATAGACCCTTTCTCTCTGCTACCACAAAATCATCTTAAGTCTTTTGACAAATACAACATCAGTTAAAACTTCTGAAAATCAAGTTGGTTAACCTCAGTTTCAATTCCTCTTGAAAATATGAGATAATTTAGAAAATATTCACCAATCCAACAAAAGATTTGGTTTATATTTTAAATACACACAGGTTTGATGAACAGGTTTGACTTGCTTGAAATTAAAAAAAAAATTTATGAATGCCAAACCCACCAAATTTTAATATGCACAAAATATTGTTAAATTGATTAGATTGCTGAATAAAGGTTCCTGTTTAAAAATAAAAATGTCTATTTGTTTTTATTATATTTGTCTGAGATGAGATGTAGGTACAGAGTTAAGTAGAAGAAATGTAATAGCTACTCTGAAAAATACTCACCACACCACAACTTTCAGGTCCACCATTGAAAAGATTACAAGTCATGCGTACAATTTCAGCTTCCATTTTGCGGATATCTGGGAAAACCTCAGGATGGAGAGGATTGCTGAAGGCGAAAATTTCATATGACTGCAAAAACAAAAAAAGACAACAATAAGTATAAATTTTGTCTGAGATTTTAGGAAGCAGTTAATATTCCATTAATCAGTTAGGAGATAGCAGTAGGGGCATAATCCAGAAAACTACAATGTCATATCCATCATGAAATGCTGCTAAAAGACCAACAGACAAAATTTCAAATAAACAAGCCAAAACATTAAAGAAAAAATTAAGATGAAGGTAAAAATTTTTAATAAAATATGAAATTTATTAGCTTTCTCATATTTTAAAGGAAAAATGTATCTATATAGTTGAAAAACTACTATAAGCCTTGTAAATCTTTGAACTGTTTTGTATATTTCTAAAATTTCTTCTCCAATTTTAAAATCTTTGTGCATGATTTTAAAATACTTTTTGCATACTTTTAATAACTATTTTGCTGATTTTATTTCCTTTTGCAAATCTTTAGAAATAGCATTGATCTTTTACAGAAACAACTTTGTTATAATTAGTGTTAACCAATCCAAAACAAAGTTCAGTAAATTTAACATAAAAGTGATTTTGATGCTGGATTCTTATTTATTTTGCAAAAAGTATTCATAAACAAATTAAAAAAACAAAGAAAAAATGTATACACCAAACAATGTACTCAAAATAAATGCTATAAAGTTTTAAAATATAATAAACTGATCACTAGATCTACATAGCTTATCCAGTGTTCAAATATTAAAAAAATGCAGACCTTATAAAAACTAAGATACAATTTAACTGTGTATGTTTATATATATTATATATAAATTTACCTTGGCTAGCAAAGATGTTAACTTGGTGTCTTGACCATAAATCATACCAGAGCACCATCCTTCTTGCCAGTTGACATTACCATATCCACGGTAGCGCTTTAATTCATTCAGAACTTCATCCTGAGAAGCAAATTTTTAGAAGTGTGACAAATTCAATACACTTGACAGAAATCAATAAATGATATTTGTTTAGAAAAAGGCTGAAAACATTATTTGTTTAAGATAAAATGAAAAAAAAAAGCAAAAAACAAGAAAACATTTTGAACCATATTAACAAATTTTCACAGAAAACAGTTAAATTTTTATTCTTAAAAAATATTATACAATATTAAAAAAAAAAAAAAATTACCCCATTACAGTGCCAGAGCCTGTCTTTCCTTTAATTCATATCAATGATTGAGAAACAAAACAGGTAAGAGTTTTTTTTGCATATTTCATGTGAATAAATAACTAGAATAATTTAAAGGTGTCTTTTTGATTTATTCCATGTAAATAAATAAGTAGAATGATAGAAAGTGTCTTTTTTTTTAATTCATGCAAATAAATAAACAGAATGACAAAAACATGTCTTATTGGTAAATGAATTACGAGAAAAATTAAAAAGTGTATTTTTAGCTTATGTCATGTAAATAAATAAGGAGAAAATTGAAGAGTCTATTTTTGGTTTATTTCATATAAATAAATAAATAAGGAGAAAAATTGAAAAGCAACTTTTTGGCTTATTTCATGTAAATAAATAAGGAAAAAACTGAAAAGTGTCTTTTTCACATATTTCATGTAAAAAAATGGGGAGAAAAACTGAAAAGTGTTTCTTTGGCTTATTTCATGTAAATGCATAAGCAGAAAAATTGAAAAGTGTATTTTTGGCTTATGTCATGTAAATAAATAAGGAGAAAAATTAAAAAGTCTGTTTTTGGCTTATTTCATCTAAATAAATTATGATAAAATTTGTACTGTACTTTTTGGTTTATTTTATAGAAATAAATAAGGAGAAAAATTGAAAAGTTTCTATTTGGCTTATTCCACATAAATAACTAATAAGAAAAACTGACAATGTCACATATTTACATGAAATACCATGTAAATACATACGGAGAAAAATTGAAAAGTGTCTTTTTAGCTTATTTCATATAAATACACAAGGAGAAAAATAAAAAAAAAATAGGGAGAAAAGTGTATCTTTGCTTTGTTTTATATAAATTCATAGGGAGAAAATTCAAAGTGTCATTTTCACAAATTTCATGTAAATAAATAAGCGGAAAATTAGAAAAATGTATTTTTCACATATTTCATGTCAATAAATCAGGAGGAAAATTGAAAAGTGTCTTTTCGGCTTATTTCATGAGAAGTGTATTTTTCACATATTTCATATAAATAAATAAGGAGAAAATTGAAATGTGTTTTTTGGTTTATTTCATGTAAATAAATATAAAAAATTGAAAAGGTTCATTTTGGCTTATTTCATGTAAATACATATGGAGAAAAATTGATAATTGTCTTTTTAGCATATTTCAAGTAAATAATTAAGGAGAAAATTAGAAAAGAATAGGTTTCTATTTATTTCTTGTAAATAAGTGAGGAGAAAAATTGAAAGTGTATTTTGGGTTTATTTCTTCTAAATAAACTGGGTGAAAAACTAAAGTGTCTTTTTGGCTTATTTCCTGTATTTAAATATGGAGAAAAACTGAAGTGTATTTTTGGCTTGCTTCATGTAAATAAATAAGGAGAAAAATTGAAAATTATCTTTTTGGCTTTCTTCATATAAATAAATGAAGAGAAAATTTGAAGTGTCTTTTCTATGTGTTTCATTTAAATGAATATGGAGAAAATTAGAAAGAGGTCTTTTTGACTTTTTTTTTTAGGAGATAATTGGAAAAGTTTTTTGTGGCTTATTTCTGGCAAATAAATAGGGAGAAAAACTGATGAGTCTCTTTTTGATTTATTTCATCAAAATAAATTTGGGAAAAAACTGAATGTGTCTTTTGGACTTATTTAATTTTAATAAACAGAGAATATTAAATTTTCAGCTCCTTTCAAGCAAATAAATAAGGATAAAAATTGAAAAGTGTTCTTTTCGATTATTTCATGCAAATAAATAAGGATAAAAATTGAAGTTTTACTTTTGGCTTCTTTCTTGTAAATAAATAAGGAGAAAAATTAAAAAGTGTCTTTTTGGCATATTTCATGTAAATAAATAAACAGAAATATTAAAGTGTCTTATTGGATTATTTCATGTAAGCAAATCAGGAGAAAATTGGAAAAGTATATTTTTGGTTTATATCATGTAAATAAATAAGAACTAAGTGTATTTTTGAATTATTTCATATAAATAAGGAGTAAAATAAAAAAGTTTATTTTTTACTTATTTTATTTAAATAGAAAAATTGAAAAATGTATTTTTGGCTTATTTCAGGTAAATTAATAAAGGGAAAATTTGAAAAGTTCCTTTTTGGATTATTTTATGTAAATAGATAAGTAAATACAAAAATGTCTTTTTGATTAATTTTATGTAAGTAAATAAGAAGCAAATTTGAAAGTGTCATTTTCATAAATTTCATGTATATAACAAGGAGAAAATTTTAAAAGTGTCTTTTTTTGCATATTTCATATAAATAAATGAGAAAAATTGAAAAGTGTTTTTTTGGCTTATAGCATGCAAATAAATAGGGAGACAAATTGAAAAGTGTCCTTTTATTTCAATTAAATAAATTGAGAGAAAATTTGTTATGTATCTTTTTGGCTTATTTCATGTAAATACATGGATAAAAATTGAAAGGTGTCTTTAGCTTATTTCATATAAATACATAATGAGAAAAATAAAAAAAATAGAGAGAAAAATTGACAAGTATATCTTTGGCTTACTTCATGTAAATACATAGAGATAAAAATAAAAAAAAAATGTCTTTTTGGTTTATTTCATATAAATAAAAAAGGAGAAAAATTGGAAGTGCCATTTTTGCAAATTTCATGTAAATAAATAAGGAGAAAAATTGAAAAGTGTCTTTTTGGCTTATTACATGTAAATAAATAAGGAAAAATTAATGGCTCTTTGGCTTATTGTAAATAAATAAAAAGAAAAATTGTAAAATGTATTTTTGGCTTATTTCATGTAAATAAATAAGTAGAAGTATTTTTCACAGATTTTGTGTAAATAAATGAGGAAAAAATTTAGAAAGTGTCATTTTTACATATTTCATATAAATAAATATGGAGAAAAATTGAAAAATGTATTTTTCACATATTTCATGTAAATAAATGAGACAAAAATTTTAAAAGTGTCCTTTTTGTCTTATTTCTTGTAAATAAATAAGGAAAGAAACTGAATAGTGCCTTTCTCCCTTATTTCATGTAAGTAAGATGAAAAATTGAAAAGTGTATTTTTGGCTTGTTTCATGTAAATAAATAACAAGAAAGTTTGAAATGTGTCTTCTTGGCTTATTTGATGTAAATAATTAGGGAGAGGAGTGTGTTTTTGGTTTATTTCAGGCAAATAAATGCACTGAAAAAGTGTCTTTCTGGCTTATTTCTTGTAAATAACTGAGAAAAACTGAAAAGCAAATTTTTGGATTACTTCATGTAAATAAAGCAGAAAAATTGAAAATTGTATTTTTAGGTTATTTCATGAAAATAAATAAAGAGGAAAATTGAAAAGTGTTTTTTGGCTTATTTCATGTAAATAATAAAGGAGAAAAATTGAAAATTGTATTTTTGTGATATTTCATATAAAAGTGTCTATTTCATATATTTCATATAAATAAATAAGTAGAAAATTGAAAAGTGTATGTTTGGCTTATTTCATGTAAATAAATAAGGAGGAAATTAGAAAAGAATTTATTCAGCTTATTTCTTGTAAATAAATGAGGAGAAAAATTGAAAAGTGTATTTTTTGACTTATTTCATGAAAATAAAGAGAAAAATTGAAAAATGTCTTTTTGGCTTATTTCTTGTAAGGAGAAAATTGTATTTTTAGGTTATTTCATGTAAATAAATGAGGAGAAACACTGAAAAATGTCTTTTTGGCTTATTTCATGTAAATAATTAAGGAGAAAATAGAAAAGGACATTTTAGCTTATTTCATGCAAATAAATGAACAAAAAAATTGAAATGTGACTTTTTGCCTTATGTAAAGAAATTAAGAGGAAAATTGAAAAGTGTCTTTTTTTGCATATTTCATTTAAATAAAGGAGAATAAAAATTGAAAAGTGTTTTTTTTGGCTCATTCCAAATAATGACATGAGAAGAAACTTTCAAATTGTCTTTTTGATTTATATCATGTAAAGAAAATTGTCTTTTTGGCATATTTCATTTGAATAAAGAAGCAGAAAAATTGAAATGTGTCTTTTTGGTTTATTTCATTTAAATAAATAAAAATTCAAAACTGTCTTTTTTGTAAATAAATAAGGAGAAAAATAGAAAAGTAAATGTTTGGCTTATTTCATGTAAATAAAATAAAAATTGAAAAGTGTATTTTTGGCATATTTCATGTAAATAAATAAGCACAAAATTGAAAAGTCTCTTTTTGACTTATTTCATGTAAATAAATAAGCACAAAATTGGAAAGTCTCTTTTTGGCTTATTTCATGTAAATAAATACAGAGAAAAATAGAAAATTGTCCTTTTCACTTGTTTCATGTAAATAAATAAAGATAAATATTGAAGTCTATTTTTGGCTTCTTTCATGTAAATCAATGCGGAGAACAAGTGGAAAGTGTCTTTTTGAATTATTTCATGTTTTAACAAATAAGTAGAAAAATAGAAGTTTTTTTACCTTATTTTATTAAAATAAAAAATTGAAAATTGTTTTTGGCTTATATCATGTAAATAAATAAAGAGAAATATTGAAATGCATATTTTTGTCTCATTTAATGTAAGTAAATAAGTAGAAATATTGTAAAGTGTCTTTTTGGCTTATTTCATATAAACGAAGAATGATTCAAGATTAAATTAAAATGCCATTTTTTAAAAAGATCTATCAGAGTTTAATGAGGTTTGTAAATTCATCCAGAAATATTACAATTAATTAAGACATTTACTTATTAAAAGAACAACGTTTAATTAATGCAATGAAAACAGACAATAAAAATGTACAAGATGAAAGTACATCTACAGTAGTTGGCAAT